TAAAGATACTAAAATAAAGTCCAATTTAGGTAAAAACTTTCGGGGTAAAAATGAAAAAAATACTTTTAGAGTCAAAAAATGAAATAAAAATTGACCAAAACTATGTAAAAATAAAAAAATAGAGTGCAAAAGAAACGATAAATTTAGGTCAAATTATTGAACCGTTAAAGGAACTGAAACAACGCTTATTTTAAGTCACAACATTTGTGGTAAAAAATAAAAAAAATACTTCAAGGTTCAAAAAGAAATTAAAAATGACCAAAAATAGGTCAAAATAAAGAAACAGTGCAAAAGAAACTATAAATTTAGGTCAAAATATTGTACCTAAAAAGATACTGAAATAACGTTCAATTTAGGTCAAAACTTTCGGGGTAAAAATGAAAAAATGCTTTTACGGTAAAAAATGAAATAAAAATTGACCAAAATTAGGTCAAAATAAAGAAAAATAGTGCAAGAGAAACGATAAATTTAGGTCAAATTTTTGAACCAATAAAGATACTTAAATAAAGTCTAATTTTAGAATTAAAAATGAGCAAAATTAGGTCAAAATTAAGAAAAAGAGTGCAAAATAAAAGATGAATTTAGGTCAAATTATTGAACCGTTAAAGGAACTAAAATAATGTTTAATTTAGGCCAAGACTTACGGTGTAAAAATGATAAATATACTTTTAAGGTCAAAAAAGAATTAAACATGACTAAAAATAGGTAATAATAAAGAAACAGAGCGCAAAAGAAACTATAAATTCAGGTCAAAATATTGAACCGAAAAAGATACTGAAATAACGTTCAATTTAGGTCAAAACTTTCGGGGTAAAAATTAAAAAATACTTTTACGGTCACAAAGGAATTAAAAATTACCAAAATTAGGTCAAAATAAAGAGAAAGAGTGCAAAAGAAACGATAAATTTAGGTCAAATTATTAAATCATTAAAAAAATTGAAATAACGTTTAGTTTAGGTCAAAACTTTCGGGGTAAAAATGAAAATAAATACTTTTAGGGTGATACAAGAATTAAAAATGACCAAAAATAGGTCAAAATAATGAAACAAAGTGCTAAAGAAACTATAAATTTAGGTCAATACTTTTAGGGTAAAAAATAAAAAAAATACTTTAAGAGTCAAAAAGAAAACAAAAATGACCAAAATTAGGTGAAGGTGTACAGACTGCGAAATAAATGATAAAATTAGGTCAAATTACTCAACCGTTTGAGAAACAGAAATAACCTTTAATTTAGGTCAAAAAATTAGGTCCAAAGAAAGGTTCAAGAAGCGAAAGAAATGAGGGGTCAATTAATAATAATTGTTTAGTGTTTAATTAAATTAATTAACCCCAAGTTTTAAATTTATAGTTTTGGTCAAAAAATACAGGTCAAAATGAGAGAAACCATAAAAATTTAGGTCAAAATATGTGAAAAAAAATTTAGTTAATAATAAGTGGTAAAAAAATTCCTCTCTCTCTCTCGCTATATAATTAATTAGTTACCTACTGCTTTTGTTTACATAATGTAATTATATATGGGAATGTAAACAATAATAATATAAATCGAACCCTCTTGCAATTTGGGGGACACAAGGCAGTGACTAAATATTTAGAAACAAAACTTTCATAAAGTTTCCTTACCCCCCCCCCCCCTTATGCCCCCTATATACAACCGCATACACCTTAATATATACATATATGGAGGGAGAGGCTCTTGAATCTTCAACGTTTATCACACTATCCCCAGGCTATTTGTATTTGAACCCCTTAAGCAAGTCCTCCAGTTATATTATACATTACACAAAATTTACATTTCTCTTCTTCAAATCGAGAGATGAAAATGATAGTGGAGAAAAAAATATTTTTCATTTCCGATTATTGAGGAAGATAATTTTTTTATTTTATTTCTGGTAATTTTTCATCGATTCTTTTTTTTTCTTAATTTCGATTTTATTCTGTTTTTGGTTTTTTTTTAAATTCATTTCTCGCGTAATTCTCTTTTTTACTTTTACTTTACTTTAATTTTAATTAATTTAATTACTTTTTAATTAATTTTTTGTAAAATTTTTTCGATATTATTCAATATTTAATGATTAATAATGAAAAAATAATTATTTATTAATAAATAATTAATTAATAATTAATTATTTAATTAATTAATTAGTTAATTAATTAATTATTAATTAATAATGATTTTATCAACATTATTCAATATTCAATGATTAATAATGAAAAAATAATTATTTATTAATAAATAATTCAATTTTGTTCACCGACTGTTGGTAATACAGGTATTCTACATACCGACTCGACTGTCTGTAATTAAATAGCTTGGTTAATAATTGCCATATTTTTAAAACAATTTTGACTACTATTATTATTTATTTATTTAGTATTTATTTTTTTGCCGACTGTTAATAAACAAGACGTGTTATGTTTACCGACTGTTGGTATAGTAGACATTGTAGAAGTGCCTTTTCAATAATTAATAATACGTTTTTCTTCTTCTTTCCTATATATTTTATTTTAATATATTATTTCTCTATACGAATTTTGACAATTTTCTTTTTTAACTAATTTCGTAATATTTTATTAATATTAACAATAATTAACAACAATATTATAATTATTATTATTTATTAATAAATCATTAAATATTGCTAACCGATTGCTTATAAAGTAAGCACAAAATATACCGACTGTCAGTGAATTAATAAATAATTTATTTTTAGTAACCGACTGCTGATTAAGAAGACCTTATATTTACCGACTGTTGGTAATGTAGGCATTTCACAAATCCGCTGTCTAAATTATAATTATTTTTAATTATAATTATTTAATTATTTTTGTAAATATATTATAAGTATTATTAATTAATTAGGTACAATATATTATTAATAATTATTCATAAATATTATTTTTAATAATTATTATTGACATTAATAATAATAATAATATATTAAAAGCCAGCACTGAATATTAAATTTTTTCTGTACATATTATTAAATGCAAATACTATTATTGTGAATATTATTAAAAGTAAATGTTAATAAATATAAATATTATTAAATGTAAATGTTATGAAATGTAAATATTATTAAATATAAATATTATTAAATATAATAATAATAAATAATATTAAGTAAATAAATATTTTTAGCTATAAATATTATTTATTACAAATATTACTGACTAATCTAAACAATTATTATTAATATTGTTAATAATTATTTAATTATTACTAATATTATTTATAATTTTTTTTTATTTTGCAAAATATTTCTTAATATCAATTACTGATAATATTAAAAAAGAATAAAATTACTCCAATTTCAATATTATTTACTTTTTACTTTTTGTCAAACTTCTCATTCGAGAAATTTTTCTTATTCCATTTTTGTGCCATTTTCTATAAAAGATAAAAAAAATAATTGAAAGTCAAAAAAAAGAATGTGAATAAAAATAATATTTTTTTAAATTCTCGAAGCAAGTTAATTTTTCTTAGGACATTTTTGTGCCATTTTCTATAATAGATAAAAAGCATTGAAAGTCAAAAAAAAAGAATGTGAATAAAAATAATAATTTTTTAAATTCTCGAAGCTAGTGAATTTGTTTTTATGCCATTGTTGTGCCATTTTCTTTAATAGATAAAAAAATTTAATGATGAAAAAAAATGTGTGAAAAAAAATATTTTTTTTAAATTCTCGAAGCAGGTGAATTTTTCATGTGCCATTTTTGTGCCATTTTCTATAATAGATCAAAAAAAATAATTGAAAGACGAAAAATATAATGTGAATAAAAATAATTTTTTTTAAATTCTCGAAGCAAGTTAATTTTTCTTATTGCCATTTTTGTGCCATTTTCTATAATTGATAAAAAAAAAATTGAAAGACGAAAAAAAAGTGTGAATAAAAATAATTTTTTTTTAAATTCTCGACGCAAGTGAATTATTCTATTTTTATCGACACAAGCCACGCCTCATCATTGTCGTACTGTCTTCCTGAAAAGGGAAACGGAAACCGGAAGTCAATCGACAGGCAGTGTCTAAGGTAGGGTTTCATAGTAGTAAATATCAACCCCGATTATTATCTTATATCTCACGAAACTTACCTACGTGCTTCTGCCCTCAGCAAATTGCAAAAAAAAAAAATAAATAAATACAGAAAATTAACGATATTTTTTTTTCTCCCACTTAGATAAAAAAATATTATTACCACTTTATTAGGAAAAAATAGAAAATTACTTTTTAGTTTGACATGACAATTTTCGTTTAAAAAAATTTTTTTTATTTTATTTTTTTTTTTTTATTGTTTTTGTCGAAATTGACAAATTTTTCGAATGAAAAAAGAACTTTTGGTTTTTCAGATCGAAAAATAGTTTTTGAAAGAACTTTTTCAGATTTAAATTGAGTCAATTTACAGATAAAATAAATTTTTGTTGATAATTCTTTATCTCATGATGGTAAATCAGTGAAAAATATTTAATTATCCTACGATGGTAAGGAAGAAAATTTGCAGGGAAATACCCTCTGATGGTAATAATCGAATTTTCAGTTCAATTATTACCATCAAATAGTAACAATTACTTTTTTTTTACTATTTATTTCTTTTTCTTTTCTTTTTTTTCTTTTATTTCTTATTTCTTATTCATTGTCTATCTTTTATTTTTATTTATTGTTTAACAATTTTATTAAATAATGTTTTAAATTATATATATTTTCCCACTTCGTAACAATTATCATCAAAGGATAAATAATTTATTACTACGTTAATTACCATCGAAGGGTAAAACAGTTTATTTTCTTCTTGTCGGTGATTACCATCAAGAGGTAAGTATTTTACTTTTTCTGCTTACCATCAAAAGGTAAATAATTTAATTTTTGTTTATAGAAAAACAAAATAGAAATTTATCGCAATTCAATTGTTTTTAACCAAGAGAAGAATTATTTTTTTATTATCATTGACAAAAAAGTTTTTTTTTTTGCATAAAAATTATTGTAAGTAAAAAATTTACAGTGAAATATGGTGTTTATAGTTGAACCAAATGACCACAGATGGCGTTATAGAAAAAATTCACGAAAATCGAAAAAATCCCTGCAAACCTCTAATATTGGTGTAAAATTGAGTTCACAATTTGCCGTACAATCAGCGTGCGAAACAATTACAATTGGTTCACACGATTATGAAGCTATTCCCGTTTTTAAACAAAAAGCCAGCGGGTAATAATTAATTAAATATTTTTCGTATTAAATTCCAAAACAATTCTAAAATTCTTATTTTTTTCTTTTTAATAATAATAATTATTAATTATAAAATAAATAATGATAATAATTATTATAACTGTTATTTAATTAATTATCATTATTAATAATAATTATTTACATATTTTAATAACAATAATTAAAAATAGAGAATAATAATAAAACTAAATACTAATTAAATAATTAAATTAAAAATAAAATAATTAAATATAAAAATAGTTTATAAAATTTTAAAATTCATAAATAATAAAATTGTAATGATACAAAGATAATAATAATAATTTTAATAATCTTTTTATTTAATATTTTTTTATATATATTATTTTTCTTACAATATAATTTAATTTTTTTTTTTTTTAAATTTTTTTTTAATTAATTATTAATAATTGATTATTTCTATTTACTACTATTTATTAATACGTTTAATTAATATATTAATATAATCAAAATAGTAAATATTTTTATTTTATTTTCATTATTTACAATTATTAATAAATTAATGAAATTAATAACAAATATCATTTATTTTTAATTAAATAAAACAATTTTTTGTTACGTAGTATATGAACAGAAGCGAAAGAAAAATTTAAATAATAATTATTACGTCGTAGCTAAAGGCGTTAATGCATTACAATTCCTCTGTGTGTTTCAAGGGTTCGATCCCCGTCGCAGTAAATTTTTGCAAAATTAAATTAAAAATTTTTTTTCATATCAATTAATTCCTCTATAGTAATAAAGTAAAAAAAACAAATAAAAATAACAAAAATATTAAGTAATAATTAATTTTTAACAACAAATTTAATAATTAATGTTAATAAAAAAAAAATTGTAGATTTTTTTAAAAAATATTGAAAAGAAAAAAATGTTATATATTAAAATTGAATGAAATTATTTTCACCATATTATATCAGGAGAAGAAACATAGAAGAAGATTTGAGACTTTTTGAAAAATTTGCCAAAAATTCAAAAACAAAAACTATTGGTCCTGGTTCCTATGAAATTAGTCAATGGCCGGAAATTATTATAAATAAAACTGGAACGAGTGTGAAAAAAAATTTTGGTTTTGGAACAACGTCTCGATTTTTGAGGACTACTAAATTTTCCACACCTGGTCCTGGTGAATAATTTAGAAATTATTAATTAATTTTATTTTAAAAAAAAAATTTCTAGAAAATAAAAAAATTCATAATTTTAAAATTAAATATAAAATAAATAAAAATAAATATAAATGAATGAAATAAATATTTTTGATTGAAATAAAGTGAAAATAGTAGAAAAGAATTAACTTAAATTGTTTCCAACTTTATTTGCTATTTGAATGTCATTAATTTTTAGGTTATGTTGGTATAAATCACAATCCTTATTATTTAATCGAAAATAAAAAAAGACAGGGACTTTCTACTCGACCAACTTTTGAATTTGATGGATTGGCCCCTAGAATTCCAAAAATAAAATCCGTTTCCTTGGCGCCTAATAGGTAAATTTATTTTGCTTATTAAACAAAAAAATTATCAAATCTTTACAATTTTTTTTTTTTGTTTGTCAACAATTAAAATTTATATTTAAATTCTGCTTTTGTAATTAAAAAAAAAGTTGCCGAAAAACGCCAAAAATTGTTAATGTTGCAAAAAAGTAACAATTCTTTTAAACCTGATTCGTGGCTGATGGCGTTTGTGCACATTATAATTTACGTGCCCGCATTCCTTGGGTTCGATCCCAGTTATGGTAAAATTTTTTTTTTTCATTTCTTTCTTCAGTGAAAAAATTATCTTATTATTTTCAGATATAAAATTAACTATCCGGATTCTTTGGATAATTTTATAAGGAAACAAACTGGAAAACGAGGACCCTACGATTTATTTACAGGTTTAAGAAAATTGTCTCTGTTTTTTAAAATTTTTTGTTTATTTTGTATTAAAAAAAAATAAGTTCTGTATAAGAAAAATATGTTCAAAATATAAAGAAAACTTATATTTTAAAAATAATTTTAGTTTTACAATATTTTTAATAATATTCATAATTATTTTGACTACAAATTAAATAAATAAATTAAAATTATATTAAAAAAATAAATTGATTGAAATTATATTAAATATATAAACTAATAAATATTATTTTAAATAAATAAGTAATTAATATATTAAATAAATAAATAATTATTATGTTAAATAAATAAATAATTATTATATTAAAATAATAAATAATTATAATATTAAATTAATTAATTAATTAATTAATTAATTAATATTATATTAAATAAGTTAACAAGTAAATTAAAAAAAAAAATTTTTAATCAGGACCTAGGGATTATTCATCAGTGAAGGGATATTTCACAGCGCCAGAAATTTTCCAAAATTCCACTTGGCCTAAAAAATTGCCCGGCGAAATTGAAAAATTATTACACAAGTCAAATAACTTTAAAGGAATTTTCGGAAAATCTTCACGGTACTTTTTTTTCTTCTTCAATACTTATTCAAAACTGACTATTTTTTTGAAAAAATAATTTTTAATTTTTCAAAAAAGTATTTTTTAATTTTGAAAAAAGTATTTTTTATTTTTTTCAAAAAAATATTTTCTAATTTACCAAAACGAAATTTTACATTCAATTTTTTTAAATAAATAAGTTTATAATTAAATACACTGTTTTTACACTATTTTTTAAAATTTTGTTAATTAATTTTGTCCAGTTTTCCAAAATTAGAAACAATTGCTCCAGGACCGGGACACTATAATTTGGAAAAATCGAGAAAAATAAGAATATTAAAAAATAATAATTGTCCTTTCGGAAAATCATTGGAGAGAGAAAAAACATTGGGTTTTAGGGAAATTCGTCCTTTCCCGGGACAATATGATCCAAAAATGGAAAAAATAATTCAAGGCGCAGGATGGAGTTGGATATTTAAGAGTAAACTTCCAAGGATTAAAAGTCTCGTTAAAGAGTCTTACAACAGTTTTTGATAAGGGGAAAAAAAACCGAAGAAGGAATTAAAAATAAAAATCATGACAAAAATAAAAAAAATTGTATAATAAACAAAAATAATAATAAAAAAATAATAAAAATGCTAATAAAAAAAATAATAATTATCATAACCAAAAATAACAACAAAACATAATAATAAACAAAAATAACAATAAAAAATAATAAATAAATTTTAATAAAAAAAATAAAATAATAATAAAGAAATAATAAAATCGATACTACAAAATAATAATAATCATAACCAAAAATAACAACAAAAAGTAATAATAAACAAAAATAACAATAAAAAATAATTATAGACAAAAATAACAATAAAAAATAATAAATAAACACTAATAAAAAATAAAATAATTATAAAAACATTAATAATAATTACAAAAATTTTTTATTATTATTATTAGTTTTATTAATTTACAATATTAATTAAAATGAATTAATAAATTGATAATAATTATTAATTAAATTATTTATTTGAATAAATAAATAAATGAATAAATAATATTATTAATTAAAAAAAGTAATTATTTAACGATATAATTATTATTTTAATTAATAAATGTGACCCGTTTTAAAAAAAGTAACAAAAAGAAGCAAATTATTTCTAGGTTATGTGTATATTACTTTTTTGCTAATTAAAAATTTCTTTTTAATTGTATAATATTGAAAACAGTTTCTATTAATTATTTTAGATATAATAAACACTTAAACATTATTAGTTTATATTAAAACTTAATTCCTTTTGTCCATTTTCATTCTAAAAATTACTAACATAACCTTAAATTTTTTTTCATTTTAAGAAGCGCGTCATAAATAAATAAATTAATTTGCATTATTAATTTATTACAATAAATAGAATAAAGAAAAATTTTAAATAAATTAAATAAAAAATACAATAAAAAAATTGAATAAAGTATTTTAATTTAATAAATAAATAAAACTATTTTGTTTATTAATAAATAAGAAATTTTTTTTTAAAAAAACTCAAAATTCTTCGTTTTCTTTTTAAAGAAAAATTTTGAATTTCTTTTGGCATTTCGAGAATGTAATGAATGTTTGCAATTCAAAAAGTGTGGGGCAAAATTCTCAGGATTTTTTCAAGGATTCAAGGTCAAAATTGAAATTAGGTCAGTAGCCATGACGTCCTTATTGGAACGTGTATTCTCTTCTAAGAAGAAAATTGTTACAATGAACCCCATTGCGCTTTAGAATTTTCTCCCGTTCCATTAAATTTCATTTTCTCTCTCTCTCTCTCTCTCTCTCTCTCTCTCTCTCTCTCTCTCTCTCTCTCTCTCTCTCTCTCTCTCTCTCTCTCTCTCTCTCTCTCTCTCTCTCTCTCTCTCTCTCTCTCTCTCTCTCTTCCTCTATTTTTCAAAATGAGAAGGAAAAATAAATTTGTTTGAAAATTTGAATTTTTCGACTTTGACTTAGACTTTAATTTTGACTCCGATTTTGACTCTGACTTTGACTCCAGCTTCGACTTTGAGTTTAACTTAGACTCCAATTTTGACTCTGACTTTGACTTAGACTTCAATTTTGACTCTGAATTCGACTTTAACTCCTACTTGACTTTGAATATTCTAATTTTGACTTTGACTCTGGCTTTGACTCAAACTTCGACTTTGACTCTGATTTTTTACTTAGAGTCTAATTTTGACTCTGACTTTGAGTATGACTTCGACTGTAATTTTGACTTTGACTTTGACTTTGACTTTGACTTTGACTTTGACTTTGACTTTGACTTTGACTCTGATCTTGATTCCAAGTTTTCGTCTTTGACTCTGACTTTAACCTTGATTTTGACTCAGACTCTAATTTTGACTTTGACTACGATTTTGACTTTCCCTATGACTTTGACTTTGACAAAGCTATTACTTTGCTTAATTTTGACTTGGACTAAAATTTGACTCTCAGTCAAATTTTTGTCCAAGTCAAATTTATTATTATTATTAATTTAACAAATAATGAAAAATTTTTCAAAAATCTCTAAAATAAAAATAGTAAAAAAAACTTTATTTTTCTATTTAATTTTATGCTGACAGTGGTGGCAGATAGAAATTTTTTGTGAAATTCCTGTCATAATTCAAAAATTTGCACAGAAAATCAAGTGAACAATGAAGAGAGAGCCCTTCTTATATGGGTATAGAAAATTACTGGGTCACCAGGGCCAAGAATATATTCCTATGGACTTTCAACTCCCGCAAAACGAAAGTGAAAACCCGCAGGTCTCGTAAATTTTATTGGGAAAGTTATAAAATTTGGTTTTACAAGAAAAAAAAAAAAAAAAAAAAAAAAAAAAAAAAGACGTCCTTCACCATAAAAACGGTAGTCAATATATTACACAAAATAATATATCGACTGGTTTTTGAAAAATTTTCGTCACAAGATTTTTTCCCCTTTTTTATTATTGTACTTTAGCCATATTTCAAAAAAAAAAAAAGAATTCTTAAAGTTAATTTAAAATAATAAAAAAATAATAATGAAAAATAAAAAAATAAAATTATAATGAAAAATAAAAAAAATAAAATAATAAAAAGAAATAATAATGAAAAATAAAAAAGATAAAATAATAAGAAAATAATAATGAAAAATGAAAATAATAAAAACTAATAATGAAAAATAGAAAAAAAATAAAATAATAAATAATAACAATAATGGTAACTGACAAATTAAATTGTTCCTTTAAATATAATTTCAATTTTTTCTCATAAACATAATTTTTTTTTTCATTTCTTTTTTAAGGGTATTGCTAGTAAAAAGGCAAAAGACGAGAGCATAAATATAATTTATTATACAATTGTTGATTTTATGATAATCATGAAAAACAATTGGAAAAATTATTAATTAGAAAAATTTTGAAATTTTGAAATAAAATTTTTTACCCAATTAGTAAATGATTTTTGGAAATTCATTAAGAGGCCTCAATAAAATTCATTTCCTTTAAATTTGAGAATATTTTTTTTCACTGACAGGAAGTCTTGAAATTAACTTTGTGTTTCTTTTCTTTTTTTGTTAAAGCGATATATAGACTTTTCATTCTCGTCTGAGAATGAGATTTTCTCAGGACGTAATTTTTTTTTTTTTTTTTTCTTTAAAAAGATACATGTAGACATGATTTGAGAGATTCTGCAAAGTCATTTTTCGTCGATCGAAAAGTTAAGTTCAAAAGATATTAGCCGCAAACACCGGTAGCATTCAAACACAGTTCATTATTTACAGACGTCATCACTTTTGCAAAATTATTTTGTTTTTATTTTTCATTACTTTTATTGTAATAATATTATAATTAATATTTTTACTACGTTATTTAATTATTATAATTCTTTTATGACTTAAAAATTTTTTATTTATTTATTTATTATTTTATTATAATTAGCAATTTTTAAAATTAGTATTTAATTTAATTAGCTATTATTATTATGAAATTATTATTAATATTATGAAACTACATATTAGAAAAAATTCAAAATTTTTTTTTACAAAATTTTTTTGAAACTCATTTTTTATGCAAATTTTTTGAAAGAAAACAATTATTTAAGATATTTTATTAAAATTCTTTAAAAGGAATTAATTATATTTAAAAGAAATTATAAAATTCTTGGGAGAAATTCAATTATTTTTAAACCAATTTTATTTTCTTCACAAAAAAAAATCAAATTAGTTTCAAAAATTTCAATAAAATTCTTGATAAGAATTCAATTATTTTTATTAATAATAAAATTAAATTCTTTGCGGAAAAATCCAATTATTTTTTATTCAATTTCAATAAAATTTCCTGAAAAATATTTTCAAAGATTTTAATAAAAATCTTTAGAAGAATTCAATTATTTTCAATACATTTTTAATTAATATCTTAAAATAATTAAAATTTTTGAAAATAATTGAATTTTTCAATTATTAAATTTTAATTTAATTTTTTTATTTTCAAAAATTTTGAAAGTAATTGAAAAAATCAATTATTTTTAAAAATTTTAATAAAAACCTTCCTTATATTATTAGAATTCAATTATTTTCAATACATTTTTAATTAATATCTTAAAATAATAAAATTCAATTATTTTCAAAAATTTTAATAAAATCCTTTGCAAGAATTCAATATTATTTTTATAAATTATAACATTTTTCATAGAAATTCAATTATTTGAAAAAATTCAATGAAATTCGTTGCAAGAATTTAATTATTTATAAATAATAAAAGTTTTCACAGGATTTCAATTATTTTTAATACAATTTTAACTAAATTTCTTAAAAGAAATGTAATTATTTTCAAAAGTTTTTAAAAAATTTCTTCGAAGCAATTCAATTCTGTTCAAAAATATTGTTAAATTTTTTTGCAGGAATTCAATTATTTTTGTAAATAAATTTTTTTACATGAATTCAATGACTTAAAAAATTTTATAAAATTCTTTGCAAAAAATTATTATTCAATTATTTTCATAAATAATAAAATTTTTCAAAGATTTCAATTATTGTTAATGCAATTTTAAATTAATTTCTCGATAAATATGTAATTATTTTCAAAAGTTTTATTAAAATTCGTCGAAAGAAATCAATTATTTTAAGAAATTTTGATAAAATTCTTTATAAATAGTATTAAATTGTAAGAAATAATCGCAATTATTCTTTGAAACAATTCAAAATTTCAAACATTTTTTCGTAAATTTTTTGCAAGAATGCAATTATTTTTAAAACTAATAAAATTTTTCACAGAAATTCAATTATATGAAAAAAATTTAATAAAATTCGTTGCAAAAATTCAATTATTTTCATAAATAATAAATTTCTTCTCAGGAATTCAATTATTTTCAATATAATTTTAATAACTTTAATAACGTTCTCGAAAAAAAATAAATTTTTAAAATTTTTTAATAAAATTCTTTAAAAGAATTTAATTATTTTCAAAAAAAATTTTATAAAATTGAATAATAAAATTATTAATTATACAATAATTAACAAACACTATTATTTTAAGAAATTCAGA